TTCCTTTTTTTATACTTTCGATGGCCAACACTACTTGAAGATCTGAGCAGTTGTTTGGGAGGTCCCGTCAAGGTCATACGAGCGGCTTTTGACCCTATGACGTCAGACATTTGATTAACCAATCAGCATTGATGTTTCTAGTGCATTACCCACGGTTCCATGCACCTCACGCCAAAAGCATGCCGTAACAGACGGTTTCATTGGCTAATCCCTCACTTCAACCAGAACACCGGTAATATAACAACTCTTCCAGATTCTAGTGTAGTAAAAACAAGTGAATTTTGAACTATAAAAAACGAAACGTAATAGGATCTGTGTTTTAATCAGATTATTAGTTTGCGTAAAGCTTTGATCTGTGTTTTTGTTTCTATACAATAAAAATTTGACATAATTCAACACTGATATTAATTAGTTTTCATCATGATGTGGCGCAGCAGCAAACAAATATAATACAATAGCATGTGCAAGAAAAACAAAAAAAGAAATTCTATGAAAATGAATGAAAGACCAAGAAATAGGGAAGAGAGAAGAAATTTACAAAATGGACAAAACAAAAACAGACAACTATGAACACAAAAAACTCAGTACTCTCACCAAAAGTCAAAATCTAGTAACTCACTTTTTTTTTCTTTTTATCAAAATTGAGTTAGGACCAAATTTTTAGTTACTAGAGTATGTGCTTCCTGTTGTTGTACTAGATATTCCAATCTTTTCATTTTGTAAGCAGTTACACCCATGAAACAACTTAGCAACTTCCTTTATTTGCCTGGTATGCCACAGAAAAACCTAGTAACTCAATAGTCAAATCAATGGATAAGCTGGGGTTTAATATTCATTCATTACGTTTTCCTTTGTTTCCTCAAAATAAGAAAAACGTGAGTTACTAGGTGTTGCCTTTTGACAGGAGAGTAGCTAAACCACACTACAACAATATGATCATTTGACTGGATGAAATCGACTACACAAATTAAACTATTTCATTATGACAACGTCGACCTCATTTTTTACTAAATAAATCACAAACTATTTTGGTTAAAAAAATATATAAAGATAGAGACTGGTTACCAGGACAACCTAATCAAGCCTTGATCAACCAGACTACAAATATATTCACAGATTAATAATAGTCTTGTAGACTAGGACATCACAACAATCTTTCGTATATTTATCATCAAATTTTAGTTTAGTATTCTAAACGAGTACTGATAAGAGTATCGAAATGAGAAACTTCAAAAGGCTAGAATAATATTTCTAATACACCAATATAAGCATCATTTTCACCAATCTTCCCACATCAATTACAATTATTATCTCACAATATTTTTCAATTGACGTTTTTTTGGACTCAGTACAGAGGTTATGTTTAATAAATATTCATTTGTTTAACATTCCAGGATACTAACATCGTTCATTTTCTATTTGTTAAATAATTAATTTGACATGAATTGTGCCATATGCCATCATTTTCTAGCCAGTTTATTACACTGTAACCCAGGTATCATTTAATCTTGTGTATTTAGCACTAATTTCTTTCACATTCGTTTAATATCAAATTTTTTGTTTAAAAATTCATAAAAATCATTTATAATCAGCCCAAATTATCTAATTTGTACTCGTGTCCAGTTTAAATCTGACTGATTAATTTTAATAACGAGTGTCCAATTCACAAGTATTTAATTTCCTGACCACTGTTCAAAGATTAATCATTATGCATCAATAATCAATTGGGTTGTTTATTTTTTAACAGTGATCGAGAAATTAAACACTTGTAAATCGGACACTCATTATCAAAATTGAATGATCAGCTTTAAACTGGATAAAAGTACAAACTAGATGATTTTAAACGATTTTTATGAATTTTAAAACAAAGATTTGATATTAAATGAATGTGAAAGAAATTAGTGCTAGATACACAAGATTAAATAATACTAGGATTACAGTGACAAGATAATAACTATTCATCTTATTAATATCTCGCCATTCTAACTTTTTTTTTATTTTCTATTTCTTAAATTATAATTCTTCCCTTTACCCAAACTAGATCTACGTTTAAATTTCAAACTCATTCGTTTTTTCATAGGTTTATTCTCGTCACTTACTTCCTCCTCCTTCGTTTTCTTACTTTTTCTTCCAAATAAATTTGTGCCGCTTTCTTTTTTAGATAGTTTACGTTTTAACGCTGCATTTTCTCGACATTCCAAATGCTCGTCATTATTGTGATCTTTATTGGGAGTTGGTTTAAGACGTAGGAGGCTCGTCTTTGTGTGTTTTGCCATGAGTCTTTGAAGGGGTGTAACCATGACGCGCAAGACCCTATTTTGTTCGGAACGTTTAACAGTGTATTCTGGAAGGGGAGGAGGGGTAGAAGGAGCCACCACGACATCAGGTATCGTAGGTCTGATTGGAGAAACGGTGGTTGACGACACTATACCTTGTTTATCGGAACAAGTGATCTCTAGAGTGGAGATTCTACCGTCCTTGTCTTGTAGTCGCTGCTGTGAATTCTCGACGGCTGATTTACTTTCTTCCAACATGGTCTGCATCTCACTAATCAACTCCCCCTAAAAAAACAAATCAAATAGATATAAAACAATCTGATTAAAACCCGGATACTATTTCCTTTCGTTTTTTTATACAGGGTTCCCGTGGCTTCGTCAAACATTTTTTCAAGGATATTCAAGGATAAATATACGTCAAATTCAAGGATTTTCAAGGACATTTTTTAGAGTAAAGTTACAATTTTTCATCTTATAAAAATAACCAAAACATTACCAACTATCGTCATAATCTCATATTTAAAAGGAATTCAAGACATTTGAAACAAAATTAAGGATCTCATATGGAATTCAAGGATATTTTCCTATTTCCGCGAAATTCAAGGATATTCAAGACCTTGAAAATGAAATTTTAAATTTAAGGATATTCAAGGATTTTCAAGGACCACGGGAACCCTGTTATAGTTCAAAATTTTGTTTTACTTGTCTTTAATACACTACACTGTAACCTAGGTATCATTTAATCTTGTGTATCTAGCACTAATTTCTTTCACATTCGTTTAATATCAATTCTTTGTTTCAAAATTCGTAAAAATTATTTAAAATCCCCCACCCAAGATCATCTAATTTGTACTTGTGTCCACTCTAGAACTCCCTAATCCCCTTTCTGGCCATTTTTTTTTTTACCTGCTGAACAATCTTCTCTTCATCTTCTGCTATCACAATTTTTAATTTTACGATCTCCTCATCCTTCTGATTAAATGTTTCACCAGCTTCCGTTAACATCTCATTTAATTCCTCCATTTCTTTTTCCTGAATAATAAAACAAACCGCACCTGGACATCAGTGTCACATGACATGAAGTTTCCACACCATATAAGGATGATTTAAAAAATTAAATGCCGAGTAGCAAAATTCTTAAGTTTTTATTCTATTTACCCTTTTGTGTGAGAGAGAGAGAGAGAGAGAGAGAGAGAGAGAAATGGGGTTTAACTTCCAACATATGGTTTAATTTATTTCATTTATTCGGTTGTGCGTAGGGGTCTTTAGCAGTGGGAGGAAACCAGAGAAAAGCCACGAGGTTGGACAGGCGACCCTACTCCTTGTCACGTACAACCGGGGAAAAGACATTTTTCATCCTTTTAAGAGAAGTAACGAGACTTATTATTCCTCCAATAAACATTTAGAGAGGAGTGAATAACCAGATACTAGTACTCATGCAGAGTAGAGAGAGAGATAGAGGTTTAAACGTTCACTCAACACAAATGAGGTCATTTCGGGACTAACATATGGTTAATTTTATTTCAATGATTCGCTTGTGCAGAGGGATCTTTAGCAGTGGGAGGAAACCGGAGGACCCGGAGAAAACCAACGAAGTTGGACAGGCAACCGGACTCCTTGTCACGTACAGCCAGATAATCGAAACCACGCCAGTTGACCCAATGACAGACCATATGAAACTGCGCGCATGTGCTAACCATTCTGCCATCTAACCTCGCTAAATACTAACCGGTTTAGCGCGTTTAATATTTGAAAGATAGGTTGCCAGGCAAAGAAACATGCGCCCACAGCAGCTAAATCGTCCGAGCGGTCGACAAGGGTTGTCACACATTTATTCCTTTGTAGGTAATTGGGGGCCTTTACAAGACAGTTCCATACAGATCAGATTATAAATTTTGTTGTTTGAGGGTTTACAAGGTTCTACAAACTGAAACAAGGGTCTCAACTCTGGAAGTAATCTACAGAAATTGTTGAAATTTGACAGGCTTTTTCGTTTTACCAATTAAAATAATGCATATAAATTTCATGCAGATCACTTTTGTCATTCAAACGTTCACAATCGCCATAACTCTAGAAATTATTGATAGAAATTGCTGAAATTCAATAGACCTGTTTCACAAATTTAAATGATGCATAAAAATTTCATACATATCGGATGATAACTTTCATCAATCGAGCATTAACAAGGTTTAACAAAGTGAAACAAGGACAATAAGTCTAGAAGTAATTATTGTAAATTGGTGAAATTCAATAGGCTTTTTCGTCTCACTAATTTAAATAATGGTTATAATTTTCAGAAATATCGAATGATAACTTTGGACGTTAGAGTGTTCACAAGGATCAATAGAGTGAAACAAGGGCCATAACCCTAGACGTAATAAATGGAAATTGTTGAAATTCAATAGGCTTCTTCGTTTCACTAACATAAATATTGCATATAAATTTCACAAAGATCATATGTTAACTTTTGGCATTAAAGCGTTCACAAGGTTCAACAAAGTGAAACAGGGGCCATAACTCTAGACGTAATAAACAGAAATTATTGAAATTAAATAGGCTTCTTCATCCCACTAATGTTAACAACATATATCAATTTTAAAACAATTGGATGATAACTTTTGGCGTTCGAGCATTCACAAGAAATTGTGGACGATGGATGGACGGACGGGGGGCGACGGCAATATACGTCCACATTTCAATGTGGGCGTATAATAAAATGAATCTAACCTGTTGTCTTATTTTATCTTTAGATTGTTGTAATTGTTGACTCAATGTTTCCAGTAATACAATATTACCTACATCATCAGATTGACTACCTGTAGCAGCCAGAGCCTGAAATATATACAAATATTACCTACAGATTGATTACCTGTAGCAGCTAGTGCCTGAAATATATACAAATATTACCTACAGATTGATTACCTGTAGCAGCTAGTGCCTGAAATATATACAAATATTACCTACAGATTGATTACCTGTAGCAGCTAGTGCCTGAAATATATACAAATATTACCTACAGATTGATTACCTGTAGCAGCTATTGCCTGAAATATATACAAATATTACCTACAGATTGATTACCTGTAGCAGCTAGTGCCAGAAATATATACAAATATTACCTACAGATCTACCAATCTCATTCAAATACAGGGGCCTGTTTCACGAAATTTTAACTAAGATTAGATTTAAATTTTAGTACTTTGATTGGATAATATTAGACTGATTTTAGCGTTTAGCCAATCAGAATTAGGGTATCTACTAAAATTTGTATTTTATCTTTAGTTAAGATTTCAAGAAACAGGACCATGACCTATATTTCCTTTCATTTTTTTTATACTTTCGATGGCCTCTACTACATGGACATCTGACCAGTTGAAGTGGGAGGTTGCATCAGGTGTCATATGAGTGGCTGTTTCTAGTGAATTATTGACAGTTCCGTTGACCTCACGCCAAAAGCTCCCCATAACAGACCGTTTCATTGGCTATTCCCTCTAATCATCCAGAACACGTCAATGATAACAACTCTTCCAGATCCTAGTGTAGTAAAGTCAAGTAAAACAAAATTTTGAACTATAAAAAACGAAACGAAATAGGATCTGTGTTTTAATCAGATTACAGATCTAGAAAACTTGACCTTATTTTACAGCAATAAGTGTAGCAATGGTAAAAGTAATTAAGAGAAAAGGTATAGTCTATGAGTTAAAGTGTAGCAATGGTAAAAGGGGATTGTCTGAAAGTGTAGCAATGGTAAAGGGATTGTCTATGAGTAAGTGTAGCAATGGTAAAAGGAATTGTCTATGAGTAAGTGTAGCAATGGTTAAAGTAACCATGGTTCAGGATGATGACTTTCATAGTGGGTTGTTTTTTAGTATTGATCTCTTTTCTTCAGTGTGCTTAGCGAGCTAGCATCTTACCCACTGTGGCCCCACTGATTAGCGAGCTAGCATCTTACCCACTGTGGCCCCACTGATTAGCGAGCTAGCATCTTACCCACTGTGGCCCCACTGATTAGCGAGCTAGCATCTTACCCACTGGGGCCCCACTGATTAGTGAGCTAGAACCTTACCCACTGTGGCCCCACTGATTAGTGAGCAAGCATCTTACCCACTGTGGCCCCACTGATTAGTGAGTTAGCACCTTACCCACTGTGGCCCCACTGATTAGTGAGCTAGCACCTTACCCACTGTGGCCCCACTGATTAGTGAGCTAGAACCTTACCCACTGTGGCCCCACTGATTAGTGAGCTAGAACCTTACCCACTGTGGCCCCACTGATTAGTGATCTAGCATCTTACCCACTGTGGCCCCACTGATTAGTGAGCTAGAACCTTACCCACTGTGGCTCCTCTGGTTAATGAGCTAGAACCTATCCACTGTGGTCCCTCTGTTTAATGAGCTAGCATCTTACCCACTGTGGCTCCTCTGGTTAATGAGCTAGCATCTTACCCACGGTGGCCCCTCTGATTAATGAGCTAGCACCTTACCCACTGTGGCCCCTCTGGTTAATGAGCTAGCACTTTATCCACTGTGGCCCCTCTGATGTATATAATTTACCTGTTGTAACTGTTGTTTTAGATCTTCAATAGTTTTACAACCATCTCGATTTTCACGTTCTACTTCCTTCTGGCGACTTTCAAACTGGTCCTACAAATTGTTTTTTGTTTAATTATTCAGCAAAGTAACTTTATAAATGAAATAAAATGGCATTAAACATGCATTATGCAAGAGCTAAGTCTGCCTATTGCAGGTCTTTCTTTAGACCTGAAATGTTATATAAATGTCATCACTAGCCTGCGATATTTACTGGATTAGGATCCGATTTGATGTTCAACTTCCATTCATAATTCAATCATGAAATGGATAATCGAGACTATGTTTTTTTATCGTACTGACTATAGTAATGATGATCGAGGCTAGGCCGAAAATTCAATCGTTAAAATCTTGGTTCAGAGTGGACCAATTTGACTGAAATTTCAGCAAATTTCTTTTACAATATCTAGTTTTTAACTATTATAGTGAGAACTGTCAGCTCTTTATCTAATCTTCCATAATGTATTTTTAATGTTTTCTAACTTCCCTGCCGCCCCCCCCCCCCCACCAAATCTTTTTTGTACAATTCAAACTTGCAATGGTAAATTCTGGGGCCACTTTTTAGTCAAATTTGCAGTAGCAGTATACTGAAGTGGTACATCAAATGTCAGTAAAGTCAAAGAATAAAATGAGCAAACATCTTTCTCAATTTTAAACCTTTTATTTATAATCAACTCACTTTTAATGTGAGAAGTTCTGTTATTGTTGACTTGGAATCAGCCAGTTGAAATTCTAGCGATGTCTGGGTTTTGGTCCTTGTTTCTTGTGATTTATTCAACTTGCTAACTTCTGCTTTCATTTTGACCATTTCTTTCGTCATTGAGTCGACTTTACTTGTTAAATCCTGAAAATTGACACAATAAATATAATACAGTAATTAAGACAAGTGATTGCCATGCAACATACATTCACATTTTGCAAGAGATGGAAAGAAATAGAATGGGGTTTAATGTCCTGCTGTTTTGCTCTGACTGGGCTAATGAAGACAAGCATACGCCATACAGTGTGCTAGCCTATGAGGAAAATTTTGCCCGATCAGCAGCACTACAGCCAACTCTTATATCGAATTCCAACTGCCAAGAGATCTTTTAGGTGCACGCCACTGTATACACAGGACCACAGATTTTCGTACTGTACGGACGACTTGACAGCTGTCCTTTTCAGGCCCTTCGTCCTGCACCACTGACAAGGAGAAAACATGTCGGAAAAAGAGATGGACAGCGAACAAGCTAAATTTTTTTTTAAAAAAAGCGATATTTCGTACAATCTGGGACAATAATCCAGGAAGTTACAGTCCAATACGCACAGGAACTCATATATTTGAGTTATAAACATTAAAATCAGATAAAAATTGTGACCTCTGTCCAAACCTTTGGTATAACATACTTTAATACTATTTGCGTACTATTTTCGACACAATCAGTGGCCATAAGTTACGGCCCGATACATTAATTGAAAGGAATGAGATCTTTGGGATATCAACTTATAGGCTTTATTTCAAGTTTCATAAAAATCGGATAAAAATTGTGACCTGTAGAGTGTCCACAAACAAATGTGAACTAACTTCTGGACGGACAGGGGCGTTGACAATATACTTCCATATTATGATGTAGGCGCATAAAAATTGATTGAAAATGACTACCAGTCCAGAAATTAGATGAAAAATAACAAATATATAAGTACATTAAATTTACGCATGAGAAAATAAGATATTTTCCTAAAAATCCATTGAGTATTTGAGAAATTTGACATACTTTTACTTTGAGTTCCTCAGCGTGCAATCTTATTGAAGGTACCCATTCGTCTGTATTTTCATCACTTTTTTCTCCTCGAGGTCGTTTTCTTGGTCGATGAATGGATTCCATCAACATCTTCACCCTTTCTTCTAATTTTTCTTCTTGTTGTTGTTTGCTCTCTCGTAACATCTCACTACATAAATAAAACAGCACATTAACATCTTTACAAATATAGTATTAATCAGGACTCTAATCTAGAAAACTATAGCATTATTCAGGACCTTAATCTTTACAACGATAGTATTAATCAGGACTAATCTTTACAACTAGATTATAAATCAGGACCTTAATCCATAAAACTATAGCATTATTCACAGAGAGATGTGGTTTAATGTCCACTTGACACAAACTAGGTCATTTTGGAACTAACACATGGTTCAGTTTTATGTCAATTGTTCACTTGAGGTAGAGGTCTTTAGCAGTGTGTGTGAGAGAGAGAGAGAAATGTGGTTTAACATCCACTTGACACAAACTAGGTAATTTCGGGACTAACACATGGTTCAATTATATTTCAATAATTTGCTTGTGCGTAGGGGTCTGTAGCAGTGGGAGGAAACCAGAGGTCCCAGAGAAAACCCACGAGGTTCGACAGGTGACCCTACTCCTTGTCACATACAACCGGGAATCGAGACGACACCAGTTGACTCAATGACAGACCTTATGATACAGCAGGCACATGCTAACCATTCGGCCAACCAACCCCGCTGTCAAGGCAAATTTTCTCTCATTGCCCACCGTTCTATGAACTGAATTAAAAGACACCCGACTTACAATGTGAGACCTTTTATTATCTACAAGAAGAATTAGCAGTAAATTGTGTCAAATATTTCTATGTCTCGAAAAGATCTTGTTGTGTGAACATGACAATATAACAATATAAGTTAATACACTAGAGATATTCCTCAGCTCTTGGCTGTAAATTGTGTCAAATATTTCTATGTCTCGAAAAGATCTTGTTGTGTGAACATGACAATATAATAATATAAGTTAATACACTAGAGATATTCCTCAGATCTTGTTGTGTGAACATGACAATATAATAATATAAGTTAATACACTAGAGATATTCCTCAGCTCTTGTTTATGATCAAATGACCATACAAGAGGGCCAATAAGTTTCTTCATACTGTTAAAGCCCCCGTCACACCAAACTAGTTCTCACTACCTTCTGGAAAAGGCCATGGAAAAGCATAGATTGTGTTTCTTGCTACCTGGAAATCCTATTGTAGGGGATGAATCTCGCGACAGGAGATCCCTAGGCCACCATACAATATGATTTCCTGGTGGCAAGAAACACAATATGCCCTTTTCCAGAACGCAGAGAGAACTAGTTTGATGTAGCGGGGGGGGTTTAGATTAAAAACAGTAATAAGAATGAAAGCAAGAATTGATTCATCATTGGAATATTAATCTATTTACCCCTAACATCAAAATAGTGGCATGTCAAACATCATTTCATTTCTGACACCAAGGTTATGTAATATTGTGGTATATTCTATATCATTGTGGTCTGAAATTTTATGGTTACGTCTACACAAGTTGTCTCCCTTATGGGGTAGTTCTTCTGCCTTTTTGAGTAATAAAGAAAGATTGGAATTCTAACATGGAGAATGATTGTTTTTCCTTTACACTAGTGATAGGCGGTTTTTCGGTTTAACCGAATAACCGTGGTTTTTACATATAAACCGAACCGATAAAACAAAAAATAACCGTGCGTTTCGGTTATTTTTTCCAAATTCCTAAATTTTAATTTACCCGTTTTTCGTTTCGGAAATGTTTGAGAAATTCCAAAATTTTAATGTAGCCATCACTTCCGTTTTTATTTTCGATCAACCAGGCCCCCTATGTAAAGAGTGTTTAATAGTTTAATAAGTCTGGACGGCCTAGACTATTTATTTTCTCAATTCGGTTCGGTTTATAATCCAAAATTTTATGCAAGCCTTAGCCAGTTGTCAATAGTTACGCACGATGACTTCCTCAAGACTTAAAATGTCTTCGACTTCGAGTCCATGGCTCTCTCACTACGAAAGATTGGATGACAGTACAAAATGTTAAGTGACAGACGATGCCGACTGAAACCAAACCATGCAGAAATGCTTGTTTTTCTGAACCATAATTTAAGACACTGAGTCGCTGACTGTTTCGATTTGTTGGATTAAGTTCTTCTGATCTTTTATAAGATTCATAATACAGTGTTTAAATGAATAAAAAAAACGAAAACCGAAACCGAGGTTTTTTGCCCCAGAAAAACCAAAAACAGAAACCGAAAGAAAATTTAAAAACCTCACAACACTACTTTACACCCACATGTAACTGCGTAACACCCCAGGATTCAACAATCTGAATATAACAGTTAATATATTACAGATATTCCTCAGTTCTTGTGTTCACCAGCCCGGTCGATGCAGAACAGTAGAATGTCAAACCCCAATTCATTTCTGACACTAATTTATAAGTTAATATTAGAGATATTCCTCAGCTCTTGTAGGATGTCCACATGACAATACAAGAGGGCCACCATGTTTCTTCATACTGTTTAAATTAACAAACAGTGATATGAGAGCAAGGATTCATTCATCATTGGAATATTTTTATCTAACAAACAACAAATATTATAGAGTACATTTATTTTATATCTAACGTTTTTATCAAATATTTTTCTCCAGGGCAATAAGTGATATCGGGTGATTCAGACAAGAGTACACATACCCTGCTTTGTGTACTATCCTCGTTGGTTTTATTTTCTTCCTACCAAATACATCACGGGCGTAGCAAAAGAGTTATTGTATGTTCGTGTTCTCATATTAACAGTCAGATTGATGCTACAGGTTAGATATCTCCACAATTAGGGGTCTTTAGCATTGGGAGGGAACTGGAGGACCCAGAGAAAACCCATGAGGTTGGACAGGCGACCCTATTCCTTGTCACATACACCCGGAGAATCGAAACCAGGCCAGCTGACTCAATGACAGACTTTATGATACAGCATGCACATGCTAACCATTCGGTCATCCAACCACCCCTGTAGTGAAAAATCAAACACAAATCTTGTAGTATGATGTATCATGCTATACCAAGGCTTTTATTAATACAAGCAGAACTCTTATAAAATGAAAGTAGAACTAACTTGTAATTTTCTTCAATGGAGACAATTTGTTGCATCATTTCTTTACAGACTTCTTCTCTGATCTGTGCTTCCATTAATACTCGAGATCTACGTTCTTCTGTTAACTGATTCTGCAGAAGTTCTACTAAATTTAGAGCTTCCTGAAATGACGATCACGTCCAATTTATTTAACAATGAAATGAGAGAGAGAGATAGAGGGAGGGTTTAATGTCCATTTGACACAAACTAGGTCATTTCTGGACTAACATATGGTTCAATTTTATTTCAATAATTCACTTCCTCGTAGGGGTCTTTAGTAGTGGGAGGAAACCGGAGGACCCATAGAAAACCCACGAGATTGGACCCTACTACTTGTCATGTACAACCCGGGAATCGAAACCACGCCAGTTGTCTCAGATCGTATGATACAGTCCACATGTGCTAACCAATCGATAGCCATGCTAGAAAATTCTGATGAACATTCTCAGCCAGCAAGGTTAGCATATCACCATGGCTACCTGTTAGGATCAGGTAATAAATATAAATATCACATGTTCTACCTGTAATTCCGATATACTGACATCCAAATCTTCATCTTCCTCATCATCATCTACAAACTGACTATTATACTTCATCATAGCACCTATAAATATATACAGAGAGAGGGGGGTTCATCATAGCACCTATAAATATATACAGAGATAGGGGGCTTCAGCATAGCACCTATAAATACACTAGGTCTCCTAAATTGATATTCCAACACGATAAGACTCACCATGACGATACGATGGACAAAATACGATAAGATGATCAAGACTTAACACAATAACATGGACACAACTGAACACAATAAGATGGACAAGACTGAATACAATAAGATGGACAAGACTGAATACAATAAGATGGACAAGACTGAATACAATAAGATGGACAAGACTGAACACGATAAGATGGACAAGACTGAACACGATAAGATGGACAAGACTGAACACAACGATAAGATGGACAAGACTGAACACAATAAGATGGACAAGACTGAATACAATAAGATGGACAAGACTGAATACAATAAGATGGACAAGGCTGAACACGATAAGATGGAAAAGACTGAACACAACGATAAGATGGACAAAACTGAACACGATAAAAGGATCAGACTGACCACGATAAGATGGATCAAGTTGAACACGATAAACTTATGATGGCCATGCATAGTGATTTTGAATAGCCGACCCATTAAAACAGTCCACCATAATTTCTATCTGGTTAATGAGCTAGTGCCTATATCCATTGCTTGAGGAGTGTATTGATGGTGATAATGTTGAACTAGTTGAAGTAAGAGATAAAGAGCTAGTGCCTGTAACCATTGCTTGATGATAATGTTGAACCAGTTGAATCAAAAGATATTACCTGGTGTATCCCACATTATAGACGGATCTCGTGATCCATGTTTCACAGACAGAGATTTCAGTTTCTTCATCTCGGGTTTCTGATGAACAACCAACTAAAATAAAATAGTTTAAAGATATATTATGTAAGATTTAGATAAAGAGCTGACCATTCTTGCTGTAATAGTTTAAAGATACATTATGGAAGATTCGGATAATGTGTGCTATAATATAATAGTTTAAAAATACATTCTGTAATGATTTCGATAAAGAGCTGACCATTCTTGCTGTAATAGTTTTAAGATACATTATGTAAGATTTAGATATAGAGCTGGCCTTTTGTTCTGTAATATTTCAAAAATGAATATATTGAAAATTTCAAATTACTTTATTCTGAGCGAAGTTATGACAGTTGGAAGAAGTAGTGTAGAATGTTTATTGTCATAGCAATCGTACTTGATTATCCATTTTATCGTTAAATTTTGAAATCTCACAGTAGTGTTCAAATCCATTTAAATCTAAGCCATCCTATGGTATAGGGTTTATTTTTGGCTTATGTTAATAAATATAATGAACAATTGTTTCATTTCTCATAAAATATTTTGAAAGGACACAACAATATTATCGAAACAAACTGAACTATTTTAAAGCGGAAATTGCAAATTTTCTAAGAAAGTCAAAACGTAATTATTTCTATGTCTTTTGCTCAATAGGTTGTCAACTCACAATTATACGATCATAGTTGTCATTCTCACACTCATTTACACAGGAAAAAATAACACAATTACCTCCCTTGTTTTCTATTCTCCACCATGGAGAAGCTTTTCAAACATTTGAAAATGAAGAGGAAAATGATATTTTTGCCAATCTCTTAGCTGGCAATAGTGAATTATAGGATTAATAGGATTAGTCTTTAACAAGATAGGACTGTTTATGTATACCATCTATTTTCAGGCTTTATTTTAATAAATTTTAAAAATATAACTTAAAAATTTTCAATTTCCGCTTTAAAGACATGCTGGCATGCAAGTTACAAATGATTTCTGACTGGACCTCATCATTAGTCAATTTCACTGCTTAATGCAAAACAATGAAGTTAATAATCTGCTGGACACACCTGTTTAGCAATGGACTCGGTAATATCTGAACTCACCTGTTTAGCGATAGCGGAGAATTTAAACACATGGAGCGTTTCATCAAACATACTAGCACACTGGTTAACATTGACTATCATGGCTGCTTTACCTCGACCACTGAAAAAATTCTGGAATAATCTGGTCAACTTGCTGTCCCGGAACGGAATTATTCGTCCATTTTCTCTGAAACCAATAGAGGACAAAACAACTTATCAGTGCCTTGAAGAAGACAGCCCTTTATTAATGAACGTTACATACATTTATTAATGAATGTTACATACAAGCCTCAAAGGAAGGAACAGCCCTTTATTAATGAATGTTATATTCGACCCTCAAAGGAAGGGACAGCTCTTTATTAACTAATTTTCCATACAAACCTCAAAGGAGGGAACAAACCTTCATTAACTAATGTTACGACACTCAAAGGAAGGGACAGCCCTTTATTAATGAATGTTATATTCGACACTCAAAGGAAGGGACAGCTGTTTATTAACTAATTTTACATACAAACCTCAAAGGAGCGAACAAACCTTCATTAACTAATGTTACGACACTCAAAGGAAGGGACAGCCCTTTATTAATGAATGTTACATTCGACCCTCAAACGAAGGGACAGCCCTTTATTAACTAATTTTACATACAAACCTCAAAGGAGGGAACAACCCTTTAATCTAATGTTATATACGACCCTCAAAGGAAGGGACAGCCCTTTAATAACTAATGTTACATACGAACCTCAAAGAAAGGGACAGCCCTTTATTAACTAATGTTACATTCGATCCTCAAAGGAAGGGACAGCCCTTTAATAACTAATGTTACATATGAACCTCAAAGGAAGGGACAGCCCTTTATTAATGAATTCAAACCTCAAAGGAAGGAACAACCCTTTATAAGTTACACATGTCCCTGGGTATCTGATAATAGTGATCCCACTACAATTTAAAATATTTGAATATTTGTTCCAATACAGTCTTGGTGGATCTGGTGAAATTGTGAATCCTTCAAATTAACATATTTCTACTTTATCTGTTTATCACATCATTAAACCATTGAATGGCCGAATTGCTAGCACGTCATTGAGACAAATGGCGTAGATTCGATTCCCCGGTTGAATGTAACAAGGAGTAGGGTCTCCAGTCCAACCTCATGGATTTTCTCTGGGTCCTCCGGTTTCCTCCGACTGCTAAAGAACGATACGCATAAGCGAATTATTGAAACAAAATTGAACCATGTGTTAGTCCCGAAAAAAACCTAGTTTGTGTCAAGCGGACATTAAACCCCATCTCTCTCCATATAGATAGATTATTGATGATTTTAACTTACTTGTGATTTTGGTTATATCTCAACATCTCGATACATCGTCCAAGGGTCATGAGAGACGTATTAATATTACCTGCCTCTTTCAATCTTTCTCCCTGACTTAATGTCTTCGACGATCGTTCAGATCCAGCTAAATCACAAAGGGATAACCTAAATAAAAATAAATATATTAATTCACAAAGGGATAACCTAAATAAAAATAAATATATTAATTCACAAAGGGATAATTACTATAATTTGCTCATCTATAAACCTCTACATTTTCTAAATACAACATTTGAAAACTCAAATTCATAAATGAGTTGACATTCAAAATATCTCATTTATTTTTTTCTTTCACTGGTATATGATTGTCCTCATTGTTTTGTAAAGTGCTTCTGAACACCGTTGGTGAAACTAGTGCCATATAAATGTTTAATAATAATATAACCAGAGCTTTATGTCTTCGTGAATCTCTAATCACGTACAACCAGGAATCGAAACCACAGACCTTATGATAGTTGACTCATGGACAGACCTTATGATATAGCGTGTACATGCTAACCATTCTGCCATCCAACCCCCCTGTTTGCTATGTAATAAGCCTACTGCCATTTTCTGTCTAGGATTACCATTATCAATACATTACTTACAAGTTAACTCTAGCCATTCTTGGATTACCGTCAATACATTACTTACATGCTGACTCTAGCCATTCAATACATTACTTACATGCTGACTCTAGCCATTCTAGGATTACCGTCAATACATTATTTACATGCTGACTCTAGCCATTCAATACATTACTTACATGCTAACTCTAGCCATTCTAGGATTACCATTATCAATACATTACAGTAGAATCTGTATGAGCAGCCACTCCTATTCAGCGACATCTCCTTGTAAGCGGTCACGATAAATTCCCCCCGTAGAAATTCTATTGTTTCATCTCTTTATTCAACGGTCACTCCTCTAACGCGGCCAGCGGTCACTATTTTACTAATAAATTCAACAAAACATCGCCCATTCAACGGCCATTGTTGAATGATACCATCTTGTCGTTCTTTGTAACACCCCCGCTAATCCCGTGAGTAGTAGTTAATTAACTGGACCCCCACTGATCAGGTAAAAAGAAATGTAAACATAACAATCAACCCGGGATTATCTGTTAATTAATCTTTTGTTTTATTAAACGACTAACCTGATCATTGTTTTCACGCGTAACGACACATTATTTGATACTGATTGAATAAAATAAAAGTACTGAGTTTTGTCACGATCATCTAGTATCTCTCTTAGCGCCTCCTATAATATTACATACAGAGTTACACCCCCTGTAAATAGGTGATAAAATTAGCGATGTTTTTTGTTCATGTGTTTTTTCGATAAAATAAAATTAATTCATCGATTTTCTTCACAAAAATGGATAAATATTATCGAATGCATCACAATGGTAGACAGTAGTATCGAAGGTTGGTACAAAATGACAAGTTTACAGAAGTTATGTCCGAGATTTGAGTAAAGAATTTTCGTCCGGCGCAAGATTCAGCGACGGCCAAATTTACCGTTTCCAATGCATCCAAGCGTAATATTTAATTTATGTCGGCACAAAAGGCAACGAGATTTTATTAAGAGGCCACTCCCGTTAAGTTATGTCCGAGATTTGAGTAAAGAATTTTCGTTCGGCGCAAGATTCAGCGACGGCCAAATTTACCGCTTCCAATGCATCCAAGCGTAATATTTAATTTATGTCGGCACAAAAAGCAACGAGATTTTATTAAGAGGCCACTCCCGTTAAGCGGTCAGTTGTGAAAATTCCCTTGGGTGGCTGCTTAATGCAGATTCTACTGTACTTACATACTGACTCTAGCCATTCAATACATTACTTACATGCTGACTCTAGCCATTCAATACATTACTTACATGCTGACTCTAGCCATTCAATACATTACTTACATGCTGACTCTAGCCATTCTAGGATTACCGTCAATACATTACTTACATGCTAACTCTAGCCATTCTAGGATTACCATTATCAATAACTCGTATTATCTTGATATTGAAGATACAATGACTGAAATAAAACAAAATATAGCCACTACCATTATTTACAGATATCCATAATTTTTTTAAAATAGAAACTGTGTTTCAATCAGATTGATTGAAATCTATTGGTCAAGAAATGAAATATACCTTGAAATGAAACACAAAACAAATTTCAAATTCTATGGTTATCAGTGTAATGCAGCAATTCCAGATTGAAGAATTTTATACAAAGCAGTAACATTTCTATTTTTTACTTCTATGACTTAACAATCTAGGTTTCTTGTGAATGGGTGGAGCTCTGTATTTCATCACAGTGAAAGACTAGGCTTACTTTCCTTCTTCTTTGTCTGCACAGCAGACATCATCTAATGCCCTGCTTGGTCCATGCCCAGATTCAAGACCAAGAGAGTCCAGTGCTAACTTGACTAGTACAACCCCAACATTACTGTATTGGACTGAAGGCCTACATTTTCTGACTTGACTAGCACAACCCCATTAATTAGTGTATTGGACTAGGAAGCTTACCTTCTAGATGAATTATGATTTAATTTAGTACAAGCTGTGCGAAGATTTCTTTGGCCAATATTTAATAATTTATAAGCCTCATCAGCATTCAAAACATTCACTTCTTTTAAACCTGAAATATATTAATAGAAATTAAAAAAGCTGTTTGTGTTGTAATCGAATGGAAATGACTCCTAACTTCCTTGATAGGCTGATACGGCAGTAGGCTAATATACATTTTATATATTAAATATACATTATGCAAGAGCTAAATCTGCCTATTGCACGTCTTTCTTTACGTCTGAAATGTTATACAAACTACTAATTAGACTTTTATTAACATGACAAGACCATAATCAACTCTTCATGCCATTGGATATCTCCGATATTAAGTAGATTAGAACGGCTCAACCATATTAGTGAAGCGAGGATAAGCTTCAATAACCAGTGCGGTGGATGCAATTCTATTTCAATGATGTGTTTATATATAGGGGTCTTTATTATCAGTTGGAGGGGAAAATCTCCAAAGGTTAAATACCATCTTGGCCTTGATGTTCATTGATAGAAATTAGTTATTTCATCATCTTGCAATATGTTCATACCTTTAATATATGGACTACCGTTTTTATCATCACTAAGTCTTAATACCGGCCGCTTCGCATTCTTCTTTTTAGGTAGAGCTTCCAGTAAATCAAAAATCTGTTCATTATAAATCTCCGCAAAACTACACCAGATGGAAAACCGTATTTGACCCTGGTCCTCAACACTTATTTTAGTTTCTTCCCGGATTCTATTCTCAATATCTGCGAACATGTCGCCCTCCAGTGATTCTGTGGTGAAGGAATATAAAATATCCAATGATCATCAAAACATGTAAAGTAACAGTTGTTTTTTCAGTTTTTTTTTTTGTGGAAATGAAAGAGGGAGAACTCGACACAAACTAGGTCATTTCCTAACACATTTTATTTCAATAATTCGCTTGCGTGTAGGGGTATTTAACAGCAGGAGGAAACAGGAAAACCCACGAGGTTGGACAGACGATCCTACTCCTTGTCTTGTACAACCAGGGAATTGAAACCATGCCGGTTGACTCAATGAGAGACATTATGATACAGCACGCAATTGCTAACCATTCGATCATCCAACCCCCTCAAATTCATTTAAGGCCACACAAAATAAATGTCTTGTTTCTCGGGCAACTGACAGCTTTAACTGCAGGGAGGGAGGGCGGTTTCTTTTTTTTTTTTACTCATTGATGGTGCAAAATAAAATTTGGCTATTGCTGAAAATTGTTGGGGCGGGAGGGCGGTCTTTTTTTTTTTTTTTTTTAAATGAGAAAGTCATTACTTGTTTACGTTTTTGCTTTCCGTTATATTCAACTTTATTGTACATACTTAAAACATAAACCCAAAATCAAGTCTACTAAAACACTGAGACTGAACACTGACTGAAAGGAAAATAATTTTCCATATTTAATTCACATAATTGAAATTGGTTTAAAATAAAATTCCATACGACTATGTAATAGCCCTCCATAAAGACAACAATATTTTTAAAAACTAAGCCTCTTTCACCAGGTGTATCAAAAATAATAATCATGGTAAACAGTATTTAAAACTAAATCTAGTATCGCCGGTTTATTTATAATTATTTACCGAATTCCAACCAATGCATGTCACACCGTGTCATCGGTATTGGAGATTGCCGGAAATACTGTTTCTTGGGATATTCGGTGTGTTTCTCAGGATATTCGGGGTTCTATCCGGTGTTTATATTGAATGACTATTTAAATCTAACTAACAACTGGTCAGTAAAACCATCAAATCGGTAATCCAATTATTATTTTCTGGATTATCGAAACTACCGTAAATGTGCTAATAATGACCCAGATTCTAAGGTATGCATTATGACGACTATCGTCATCGTATTCTTAGCTATAATTAATTAACCTGTTCTACGGTTCATTATTTTATCAATAGGATTTTCCAAACAAGGACCGACTGAAGCCGGCAATAATGAGCCGATTACGATCGAATGATTGAAATATTGTCGCCAATGACTTTTAACACGAATCAAATTCTAGTTTATCAGGGGAGGTAATTAATATCACGTGATACAAAATGGAGGTTCTTTCGATATCAATAAAAAAGGCAAATCTGCCAAACTTCGCCATTGTTCGGATAAAAAAGACAGCATGTTCATCTGAATCAGTTTTAATACATTTGAATAGATATACATGTATGGCGGATGTAGGTACATGCGGGATATTTTTTTTACGACTTGCTTGTCGATGTGCGGGCGGGCGTTACATATTTATTTTTTTTCATCAAGACTAATAAATAGACTGCACGCGCAACCAATTTTGCGTGCAGGCGGTGCCCGAGAAACAAGTTATTTTATTTGTGTTGCCTAACATTCATTCAATATCAAATCTTTGTTCGAGAATTTGTAAAAATCATCAAAATTCACCCTAAATCATCTAATTTAATTGACAAATGTTTAATTGACAAGTGTTTTATTTCCTGGCAATGAAGAAGATTAGAAGACTCACCTTTTGATTCCCGTTCTCCAACTGTTGATATATTAGAACCTTCCGAACAAGTTGTTGTGTTACCTTGAGACATATCAGATGCATCACCTCCCAGTAACATCATCACCTTATCATCCTAAAACATATTTCACTCAATTTAACATGTATTCATTCATACTTAACTCAATTTAAACATTGAACAGATTTCATTCAATTTCATTCATATTTCACATAAAGATACATTATGGGAGATTCGATAACGAGTTGGCAGTTCTCACTATAATAGTTAAAAACTAGATAATATAAAGACAATTTGCTGAAAATTTCAGTCAAATTGATCCACTCTGAACCAATATTTTAGCGATTGAATTTTCAGCCGTGCCTCGATCATCATTACTGACGTCAGTACGATAAATCATAGTCTCGATTATCCATAAATCAAGAATGGAAGTCGAACAGCAAATCGGAACCTAATCCAATAAACATTGCAGGTTAGCCAGGACATTGAGAGTCAATTATGGTCCGGATACGGCCTACTCTTATATTAAATTCCATGTGTGCACGGGACCTCGTTTTTTTTCATACCATCCAAAGACTAGACAGCTTTCCTTGTCAGGCCCTCCCCGTCTTGCATCGAAACAACACCATTTGACTATATGACAATCTCTCTATCCAGTAAATCAAGTCTACATACATCTTCTGTGCTCATTTGCATAATTCTGTCTTTTATTTTCCTCTCGGCTTCTTCTTGTTCCGCTGTCAGTTTAGCGACGTCCATAAACATTTTAGGTTTTAGATTCATTCCACTCAACTGTTTATTGTTGATACTGTTGAATAAAACGTCAAGAGCTCTTGGTAAAATTCCGGCATCTGACTGCTTACCTGTAACAAACGGAGAAATTATAAAACATTGAGAGATAATCTGATTAAAATACAGATCTATATTTCTTTTTGTTTTTTATACTTTCGATGGCCTACACTACATGAACATCTGACCGGTTGTGGTGGAAGGTTTCGTCACAGGTCATACAAAAGGCTTTTGACCCTATGACGTACATGTACGACATTTGTTGAACCAATCAGCGTTGATGTTTCTAGTGGGTTACCCAGTTCCCTGCAGATTACCGTAACATACCATTTCATTGGCTAATCCCTCACATCAACCTGAATGCCAGTTATATAACAACTCTTTCAGATCCTAGTGTAGTAAAAACAAGTAAAACGAAACGAAATAGGATCTGTGTTTTAATCAGATTGTATTAAGATGAACTTTTATAGTGCATCTTTCTCCTCAAACAATATAACAACGGTACGGTATATCCCTCAGTAACTGATTCTTGACACTGACAATGATTATTATGTAAAAACTCAACAGACTGAACCGGAGTTCGTTACATTATCATTATCTTAAAATTTGCGCAGTGTTTGTCATCACTGGGATATTAACAAGGGTCTCAATCTTATCATATTTACAGGACATACAATTATGGTGGTATATATTAGACTCAAAATTCTAACATGCAATCGTCCAATTTCATGTATTCTCTAACTTCTATTCATGTAATTTCTAAATTAAGACAATGTCTAATCCAACTTCTTTTTTTTTCAGTGTAAATTTTAATTCTGTTTCATCTTATTTCTATTATTAAGACGAAAAATGTTGTCGCTTTACATGTTAAGCATGAAAGTAAAACAAATTAATTTTGATACTTCTACTTAGCAACCATCATTATGACCTTGTTTGGGGTCGCCACCGTGTGATCGGGACCATTATGTTGGTACCAACGACTCTCTCTTCTTCGGGTTGAATGGTTTGGCGGAGTGTTGAAATTGAAAACAACATCGAGCGTGACATGGTTTGCAAATTGAATTACTATTTCAAATATAAGCTAAACCGCAAATGTTGTTTAGCTTGTATTTGAAATAGTATTTGCCAACCATATCACGTTCGATGTTGTTTTCAATTTCAGCATCGATTCCCCGGTTCCGCGGTTGTACATGATAAGGAATAGTGTAGACTTGGCTGGGGCAGGGCAGATCATCTGAGTGACAGTATAGACTTGGGGTGGGGCAGATGATGACAGTGACGGTGTAGACTTGGCGCGGGACAGATACATGTAGTGAGAGTGACGGTCTAGACTTGGGGTGAGGCAGATAATGAGACCGTCTAGACGAGGGCCGAGAAACAGAATGATACTTACCCTGTATCGTGTAAGTTTTACCCGAACTTGTAACACCATACGTAAAAACCAAACAATTCTGTCCGTCAATAAAATCTCGAACAAGATTCAACATTGTGTCATCAAAAAACTCTTTTTGTGTCGTATCTTCATCGAATATTCGTGAAAATGTGAATTTATGGGATGTTTTGCCCAAACCATGAGAATGATTTTTATAGATGTGTGAATCCTTTGGAGCTTTTGTCATGATGGTGTTATCATCCAGAATCTCTAAACATCCCTAAAAATAAAAAAAAAAACGCAACTTACTACGGGAAATAATCATTTTAAAGGGACAATAACACTCTTGCTGGCTTGACAGCTCCAGAAAATAAATAATAGCCTTATTCTAAGTACTAGATGTGTTAGTGTCCTACCTTTTGTGTAAATTATCCATTAAATCCTATTTTACTTGTCCAAAGGGTTCAAAAATATTTTTAAATCCAAGTCACATTTGAAAAGCTTTACGTCAGGCTTTTTAAATCATTTAGTTGAATTTTTCCAATTTTTAAAATTACATGTAGGTGTGTTAAGATGAAATTTGTATCATCAATTAATTGGAATATTGTAAAATAGTACAATTTGTTGACCAGAATAAATATTGGGACATATTATTCAGTTAAAACAAGAGTGGTATTGAGCCTTTAACTATACATGTATCACTAGTACAACTTGGGTATTGTGTAGTTGCTGTTTTAGCAGAGGAGTTTCTGTATTCAAAGATACATTTTGTAAGATTTAGATAAAGAGTTAGCTATAATGGTTCGAAAACAGATCATGGAAAATGAATGATTTGAAAATTTCATTCAAATTACTCTATTGCGAGCGAAGATATTATCCTTTGAAGGTTTGACAAGAAGTGTGCAATAATTGCAACCACCGTACTGGTTGTTCGAAGCTAAGTCTCGCTCCTCCATTTTTAGATTAAATATGGCTCAACTGTTGTAATCTATTTAATGTCGGAAAAATCTGATGCCATCGAGAGTTGATTATGGTCTAGATAAGTTAATTAATGTCTAATTAATAATTTATAAAACATTTCAGACTGAAAGAAAGACCTGCAATAGGCAGATTTAGCTCTTGCATAATGTATGTTTAATGTTTAGTTTCAACCATCCTTGGTAAATTGCTAAAATTCTTGGAGAATCATGAAAATAGGAACCAAACAGCCTTTGATGATTCCCAACGAATTCAGCAATTTTAATTTTCCCGAAATTGCATTGAATTGCAAATCATTCAAATTGTAAAATTAGCAGTGAGTTGATCTATAGATAGATAGGCCTACCGTACCTGATTTTCACCACGATCAGATTCCGAATCAGAAAATGGTCTGACACGTAAATAACATTTCATATGTTCTTCTCCGGGATCAACATTACTGGCTACAGCTTTCTTAAAAACTGCCGACAAATTTTTACGTGAATCCGAGAAGATGTCTGATTCAGTTTCATCCATTGTTTTCTCCATGCCAGTCGCCATTATCTCCGAAAACATCCGTGTTTTCGAGTGTTCAGCCATTTTTACAGATTTCTGGAAGAAACAATTCATAAGTTTTTATATATTTATATATATGTACTGGTGATAGATTGTTTTCAACTATTGCGGCATTTTATTTACCACTCATCATATATGACAAGATAAGATTACGGAATCATGTCAAGCAGCATGTATGGCGGCCGACAGCGTGTAACAACATTTATCACAAGCAGTTGCAAAACACCTTGCTGACTTAGTGAGCCGTTTAGCCTAGCTCAGTTTTTATTATAAATAGTTTATCTAGTAACTTAGTAGGCCTAAAACCTCACTTGATGCAGTCATGATTTCACACATTCTGCCTTGCTCACATATCTAAACAATTCAGTTCAAATTAAATATGTTCAGGAACCACCTTATTGAATCCTTTTTGAAAAAGTATTGGCCCCCAGTCAATTTTACTGGGCAAATCTTTACTGCTAAGCGTATTTTTACTTCTGCAAAACAGCTTGGCAGAAGCCATTGAAATCTAAATATAGGGTAACGTAAAAAAATTATGTAACTCAGCAATATAAGTCATAAGACAAAGCGAAATTTTTAACAGCATGTTGTAGACTCTAGATAGCTAGGTAAGTGAGGTCACTAAAATGTAGTTCAGCTCTGAACGTAGGACTCATTACACTCGCCCTGTACGTTCAGGAACCATCCTATTGAATCCTTGGCGAAAAAATTTCACTTAATAGTTCATTTTACTGGGCAACTTTTTACTGCTGAACGGTCGCGTGCCAGTAACTGTGAACGTCTGAACAATATAAATGAACATCTAAGTGAGAAAATAAGACCTTGCTTACCTCGCTAGAACCAGAACGAGGTAGCTAAGAGAACGTAACTAAAAATACGCCAGAAGTCTTGAGCAAATGGCAATTCCATTCTACACCGATAGTATTTATTGTGCATGCTCTCCAGGTAAGAATATGACGTAACCATTTCACATGACTTGTGGAATATACCTAGCCTCGTTTTTCAAGTCCCTTGTTACAAATGACGCTGAAAATATTATGGTATGGTACACGATTCGTGTACCAAAAGGGCAATGGTAACATGTTTATTTTGTCTTGAATATTGGTTATCAGAAGCCCATATTTTCCCGGTAAGATAACAACATCAATGTTGATTTTTAAATTGACAAATAATTCGTGTTTTCAATGTTGAAGAATTTGGATGATATTGGTTTAGAGACTTAGCCTTAGTACTTTAAATTCGTTTGATCAAGATCGAAGATGGGGAAAATTTCTGTTGTTATTATTTAGGGCCTACGGCAATATTTAACTGTGACTGTCGGACCAAATCTAATTTAGGCATCAAACGCTAACGACAAGTTTCGTGTTATTATTTTAAAAACTATTTAATCAAACAATTCATTGACCTTGCTCAGTTTTCGAAGTATTTTCAGTTCTTCGATTCAAGGCTGCAAGCCATGCAAATCAAACATGTGACGAGGAAAGTAGCCTAGTATTAATAATCTAGTTTCATTTCTTCAAAACTTTTAGCCACAATATCTACTTATAACAAGATGTTCAATTATTGGTGACATACATACCTGTTTTGGTAAAAATTACATCGTTTATTGAACAATTAACCTACTGCTATTTTCATGTGGACATATTTTCCTCCTTGGCGCTAAGATTTTAAAATTCGACCAATCGAGAGAGATAATACAAAATTCAAGGGACGCAACTCACTGTTTCCGGTTTACTTAAAAATGAAAGTAGACGAATACTAAGGAATCAGACCAATGAGAGAGTACCCACTCCGTGAATACAGTTTAAACATAGGTCGAACTTGTTTACCTTGATAACAGGTTTTTGTGTTATTTGTTACGCATTCTAGAAAAATCCGACCATCATAAAAATCCGACCTGTTAAAAGGGAACAATATTCTCAATGCTGATACCACTGGTCATTTTCGAATTTACAAACTAAATTGAAATGGAGTAAACACATAAATAAGACTGTTAATAAAGCTCATTCCACATTGGGATTCATTAGGCGTAATCTACGCAAGTGTCCTAGATCTCTTAAGATTACAGCTTACCAATCTCTAGTACGCTCAGTGTTGGAATATTGCTCATCAATATGGGACCCGCACAGTCAAACGGACATTCTATCCCTTGAGAAGGTACAAAGATCCGCAGGACGATTCATAACATCGGATTACTCACGTGAAAGCAGCGTCACTAAGATGCTTAACGATGTGGGTATAAAACCGCTATTAGAACGCCGGAGCTAGAGATCATAGACTTGTGTTATTTTACAAAATAATAAATGAGCTAGTGCCATATACCGAATGACCCTATACTTATTCCAAGTGTTTCTAGAACACGGAAAACTAACTCAAAAAACTATAAACAGATTCAGTGTAATAGTGAACTATTCAGACAGTCCTTCTTTCCAATGACCATTAAAGACTGGAACCAACTTCCAGACAAAACAGTCCTAGCCACATCGGCGGAGGCTTTCATCTCGTATATACGAGAATAAACAGCGCATGCGCACCCCCAAGGCATAATACTCAGCTTTGAGTGAGTCAGGGTACTAATATAGAAACAGAAACAGGAAAAAAAAAATATCTACAGATTTATTTAGGCGACGTTTCGAAGAGTATTCTCTCAACGTTGTCTCTGGCCATTGCTGGAATGACTTCTGATACTGAAGATTTTGATGGAGTGTGTGTGTCTATCCTTCTCGTTCAATCTATCCCAAGGACAGCAACATGACAGCCCTTCGCTTAATCATCTGGGGTCTTCCCTAAAACTTTGGACAGTGATTTAAGATATTAAAAATGGTGAAAGTATTGTTCACCTCCAAACAGTATTGTTTACATTGTATCCGTTTTGATAGCCTCGTTTGTCATGCAATTAGTTTTTATGCAATATTCTGCTATGCTCTGGTTAATTGGGCCTAATAAAATCGTGAGTCATGACGTAACGTTATGTAAACATATTTGGTCCAATTTGGAGCTCTGTTTAAAGCGTAATTATGTTGTTACGCAGTTAGCCATTGGCTGTTAATCGGACTATTGACCAGTAATAATTTGGAACAGAAATTTGCTTCCTTTACAGCAGTGTTAAGTGGGATTAGGTATAATCAAATGAAACACTGCGAGGAGTATGGTTGTTGCCATATATGATTTCAGCTCTGTTGTTCTATTTTGTCTATTGTAGGGTTTTGGCCGGGCTCAACAGTCCATGACACACATGATATATACGATAAAAGCCGACAAACGGCGACAGACGACGTACGCTGTCTTCCCGGGTATTCAGCCATAGCTGCCCCACGAACGTCACACGTGCAGCTTAACACATATTACTGTAAAGTTATTAAAGAGATGTACAAGAACGAGGCTAGGCATATTCCACAAGTCATATCAAACGGTTACGTTATGTTCTATCTAGAGAGCATGCACAGTACTATCGGTGTAGACTGGAAAAAAAAACAGACGCTAGAGACTGCCATTCGATTGGGACTTCTGTCGTATTTCGCCGCACATAACTGATTTGAAATTACAGTAAAAACAGAAACGATTGAATGTAAATCAGTTTATATATTACATTATTATATGCATTGCAACCCACTTGTGTCAATTTAGATCCCAAATATTAGCGATTTAGCTCCTTTAACAAATATGTTAAGGATCAAAAGATCTTGAATGAGAGGATGAGCCCTATTGATTTTACCCCTTCCCATACATTTCTTGGAAAATGTGGGCGTATTGTGCATGGTAACCGCTTGTTTCAACTGATCATAACTTTTAACAGTGAATTATTTGAGAGATAAGAGACACAGGGAAAGTGTACGTGTCTATACCGTCGTTTTTTAATTACCTAATCTGTCATAGATACAATGGGAGTGAGATGGGGTTGAAATAAAGATCGACTGTTCAGTTAACTAATCGTGACCCCCGCAACTGAGAGTCTCTCAACCCAGGGATCAGTATAGAGTATAACAGGGTTTGCTTCTGGAAGTCTACATTCTAGGAGTCTCTCTTCTCTGTTAAAATCAGACCTCGTTGTATACGGCATAATTACTTTCGTGCAATAACCTGGAGAAATGATATGCTCCGAACTGGGCTAATGAAGACGGGCATACGCCATACAGTGGGCTATGAGGGGGATTTTGCCCGGACAGCGGCACTACGGCCTACTCTTATTTATTTATAGCACAATACACGCTGCTGCGGTAAATATGACGCGATGGACTATTTATAGGCCAATACATGATGCTGCGGAGAAGTTGTGTGTGAAATAGCTATATTTTACTTCCGCTTCCACTAAAGTGATATCGCAGAGAAAATGCGGAGAATTCACGTGATGGGCTAGTTATAGGCTAATATACACGCTTCTTCGGAGAATTCACGTCCCCAGGTGCAGTTATGTAATCAATTTAGAAATTGTCATTTGACGACAGGTTGATCATTATCCGAAGTAAATTCACCTTGTATTTGCGATTATTTCACAGGTAAAACACCTTGATGGCCGTGTATGTAAAAGAAACCCTTGACAGTTTAAATTCAAAACAAGAGTTGGTCGTATCGTTGCTTTCTGGACAGAGAGAGGTTGAGGTTATAGGATGCTAAAATATAGTTGAACACGTGTTATTTTTTTGGAGCCACATTAAGAAATGTATTGGTATTGTGTTCATTCCAGTTATAATAGGCGTACACAGGAGCATATTCCATATTACCACGTGTGTGTTCATTATCATCATCATCATGAACATCAACTTTACCAAAATAACTTTCAACATAAGCTGGTGGGGCTGAAAAATATAAAACATACTTTCAATATACCGACTGGTCGAAAATAATGGGAGAGGGAGAGAAGGGGGGCATTCCCAATACAATTATATCACTAGAAGGATACCCGGGGCCGGAATTCACCCAGGGCCCAAAGCCCGACGGTGGTAGTCCATTGCCACCAGACCTGTGTTACTCCCCGGTTCCAGCCACCCCAATACACCAAATTGCAGCCCTAGTGTAGCCAGACAAGCAAACAAACAATAGTCACAATAGTATACAATTGGTTAGAAAGAGATTTTCCGGCGTGGTTCCCCCTTGTCAGTGGCGCAGGACGGAGGGCCTGGCAAGGGACAACGTATAATAGTTCGTATAGGACGAAAACCGAGGTCCCGTGTACACATTGGCGTACACATAAAAGATCCTTTGGCAGTTGGACTTCGATATAAAAGTAGGCCGTTGTGCCGCTGTCCGGGCAAAATTTCCTACATAACACCCGTCTACATTAACCCAGTTCGGATGAGAACAGTAGGACGTTAAACATTATTTCCATCATTTCATTTCCTTAAAGCGGATTTATGGAAGAGCTCATAAAGAGTCAAAAAGAGCTGACAGTTCTCGCCATATAATAGTTAAAAATAGATAATGTAAAGAGAATATGCTGAAAATTTCAGTCAAAGTACTTAACTCTGAGCCTAGAATTCGCCGATACAATTATAACCTAGTCTCGATTGTCATTACTACCGTTGTTACGATAATAAACAGCGTCTCGATTATCCATTTTTACTGTATCCACATCCACCACAAACCATATTTAAATCTACTTATATTGCAGGCATCGAGAGATGATTGTCAGTTTTAATTAATTTCTGTATACTTACGTATATCTTGATTGTTGGACATATTACTTGGACTGACATTAACATATTCTACTGGTGGTAGAGACATAGATACTTCTGGCATGATTAGTTTAACAGGAATATTGGGGTGATCTGATAGGTATATAGATGAGGGCATAGGTCCTGGTACACCATACTGTTGAGCTACTGATCTTAATGGAATAGTACCAATTATAATTTTTATAGGTACCACTAAATCAAATGCTGGTCCAGCTGGATCTACATTTAACTAAAAATATATAATAATATTAAGAATAACTAGCAGGATACCCGGCTTCGCTCGGGGGTCATAACTCCGAAACCGGAAGTGGTAGACTAACACCACCTGGCCTATGTTACTCCCCGGTCCGAGCGACCCCGATACCCCAAATTTCAGACTCGGGGCAGACCTAGTGTAGCCGCCAACCCCGAACAGAGAGACAGACAGACAGACAAACGACAGTCACAAATATATATAGATAGATAAACCGACAGTTTTTTTTTAAAAACTGTTACAGTCTAAACCTACATAATATGTCTCACCGTTAAAGTATATGTAATATCTATATTAAATGTCTCACTGTTACAGTATATTAAATGTCTCACCGTTACAGTATATTAAATGTCTATGTTAAATGTCTCACCGTTACAGTATGTAAAATGTCTCATCGTTACAGTATATTAAATATCTCACCGTTACAGTATATTAAATGTCTCACCGTTACAGTATATTACATGTCTCACCAGTAATATCTATATTAAATGTCTCACCTATACAGTATATTAAATATCTCACCGCTACATTATATTAAATGTCTCACCGTTACAGTATATTAAATGTCTCACCGTTACAGTATATGTAATATTTATATTAAATGTCCCACTGTTACAGTATATGTAATATCTGTATTAAATGTCTCACCGTCACATTATATTAATTGTCTCACTGTTACAGTATATTAAATGTCTCACCGTTACAGTATATTACATGTCTCACCAGTAATATCTATATTAAATGTCTCACCTATACAGTATATTAAATATCTCACCGCTACATTATATTAAATGTCTCACCGTTACAGTATATGTAATATTTATATTAAATGTCTCACCGTAACAGTGTATGTAATATCTGTATTAAATGTCTCACCGTTATAGTATATGTAATATCTATATTAAATGTCTCACCGTTACAGTTTATTAAATGTCTATGTTAAATGTCTCACCGTTACAGTATATAAAATGTCTCACCTGTAATATCTATATAAAATGTCTCACCGTTACAATATATGTAATATCTATATTAAATGTCTCACTGTTACAGTATATTAAATGTCTCACCGTTACAGAATATGTAATATTTATATTAAATGTCTCACCGTTACAGTGTATGTAATATACTATTCAAAAAAAGTAGGGGATATTTGATTTTGGGGGCATAATACTAAAATATGCAAATGACTACGAAAAAAGTCACTATAGAACCTAACAGAAGAAACATTTCCAGTTACATGTGACGCCCAAACGCACCAATAGCTACCGCATGGAATGCAGGTGATGCTTGGGATCATCATGGGGGTCCAACCCAAGATTTGCACGACTCTGACTTTGAATGTTACAGTCATTGTGGCATTGAATTCCAGGGTGGAAACATCAGTTTAATTGTTTTAGTGACCAGAAAACAAATTTTGATATGCGTCGGCTTACCCAAAATGAAAGGTTACGTGCCCTTGGCATGCTACAGATCGGCACAACACAGGCGGTTGTGGCGCGGACGATGAATGTTTCTCAGTCTGTCATAAGCAGGCTATGGTCCAGATACCGTGATACACAATCTGTACAGGACAGACCACGCTCAGGTCGACCAAGGGCGACAACTCAAGCCCAGGATCGATTTATCCGTACCTTGGCCTTGAGAAATCGTGTCATCACAGCAAATCAGATCAGCACTCGTCTTCAAACAGACACTGGTGTGAGAGTGAGTGGCCAGACGATTCGGAATCGACTGCATAGGGGTCACCTTCGCGCCCGACGTCCTCGCATGATTCAGGCAAGACGTCGTTGGTGTAGGGATCGTCAACACTGGGATAATCGACGCTGGAGCAATGTGATGTTTTCAGATGAGTCAAGGTTCACTGTTGATTTTTTGGACAGACGTAGGAGGGTGTGGCGTCGTCGAAACGAGCGCTTCCAAGACGTTAACGTCATCAGACATGATCGATTTGGGGGTGGTTCTGTTATGGTGTGGGGAGGCATCACTGTTGCTGGAAGAACGGCTTTACATGTTGTTGCAGGGCGTGTTACAGGCCAGTACTACCGGGACAACATCTTGGCAGTCCATGTTGTGCCGTTCGCACGACGTCATGGCCGCCGTTTCATCTTCCAGGATGACAACGCAAGATGTCACAGGGCCAGGATCGTTACAGGTTACCTCCAACAACAGAACATCACCACATTACCTTGGCCAGCACTGAGTCCCGACCTCTCCCCCATCGAGCATGTCTGGGACATGCTTGGACAGAGGTTACGTCAACGTCAACAACGTCCTGCCAATGTCCAAGAACTTGCTGCTGCGTTGCAACAGGAATGGGACAATCTGGACCAAAATGACCTTAGACGTCTCATTAGGAGTATGCCACGTCGGATCAATGCTTGTTTGGCAAACAGAGGAGGATTTACCCGTTACTGACTTGGTTGTGATGCTGTGGTAACTTTGCTGTTTGACCCCGGGTATCATTTTACCCTTATAATGGTCAGTCTGTGCCTTACTTAGTCTAACGATCATTTGGAATAAATCGATGAATGTGAACTTCATTTCATTTTGTCATTTGTTTCTTCATCAGTTTCATTAGGTGACTTTAATAACACTTAAAAATCAAATATCCCCTACTTTTTTTGAATAGTATATCTGTATTAAATGTCTCACCGTTATAGTATATGTACTATCTATATTAAATGTCTCACCGTTACAGTTTATTAAATGTCTATGTTAAATGTCTCACCGTTACAGTGTATAAAATGTCTCACCTGTAATATCTATATTAAATGTTACAATATATGTAATATCTATATTAAATGTCTCACTGTTACAGTATACGAAATATCTATATAAAATGTCTCACCTGTAATATCCATATTAAATGTCTCACCGTTACAGTATAGTAAATAACTCACCGTTACAGTATATTTTATATCTATGATTTTACATCCACGTAAGTTGGAGGGTGGTAAAGGCGGCACACCAAGAGCATCCCCATTCCAAATATCATCCCCACCTGCTTGGATGGGACCTTTGCAGATTTTAGACACAGAATTTTTCTGTGTTCTTGTTTTGCTGGGAGTATGGTAGTCAACAGTCTGAAAGCAAAACCAATTATAATCGCTAATGAAACGTGTCGCTATTTATCAGACTGAATCCTGTATTTCAATAGTTTGATGGTGGCCGTATTCATATTGTTGATCAATCGGATAAAAATACAGATACATATTTCGTTTCGTTTTTTTATACTTTCGATGACCTACACTACATGTAGATATGGACAGTTATAGCGATAGGTCGCGTCAGAGGTCATACGAGTGGTCTTTGGCCCTATGACGTCAGACATTTGATTACCCAAGGAGCATGGGTGTTACTAGTGGATTACCCACAGTTCCGTGCAAAACACGCCTAAAGCGTTACAGATCGTTTCATTGGCTAATCCCTCACACCATCCAGAACACTTCCAGATCCTAGTGTAGTAAAGACAAGTAAAACGAAATTTTGAACTATAAAAACGAAACGAAATAGGATCTGTGTTTTAATGAGATTGATTGTTGATCACTTTAAGACATTGGTGTTTGATATGGTGACAAATCTGTCGTGTACCTGGTCCAGCATTCTAGTTAGAGATTCTCGTTGCTGTGGTTACGCGATTCGTTAATTGTCTTGCCTTTTGTTGTTAAGTTCATCAAGTTATCCTTGATTCATAGACAGAGCGAAACCGAAAAGGAGCCGTTTACACCACAGAGACGGGTAGCCGAATGGTATAAGACATGCTTATCATAAAGTCTCTCTTTGAGTCACGTGACAAGGCGTCGGGTCGCCTGTTCAGCCTCATGGATTTTCTACAGGTTCCCCTGTTCCCCCACTACTAAAGACCCCCTACTCACATGCTTATCATAAAGTCTGTCCTTGAGTCAAGTGGCGTGATTTCGATTCCCCGCTTGTACGTGACAAGGCGTCGGGTCGCCTGTTCAGTCTCATGGATTATCTACAGGTTCTCCGATATCCCCCAACAGCTATAGACCCCTACTCACAAATGAATTATTGTATTGAAATTGAAATAGGGACACATCTTTTTGTCGAATTGATTTTATTCATCGTCAGCACAATCTAAGACTTACCATTCGAAGCTCAGCAAAGGAACTGGTCATTTTGCGTCGGCTATGATTATTTATTTCACCGTGTATACGTATATTTTCTCCAGGTACATATCCGAGTCTATCTAATTTTAATACGGCCCTGATAGGTCCTGATTTACAACATAAACAACACATAGTCTTCTCACCTTGTTGTGTAACACCTTGCTATAATACAAATAAAACACAGTTAGTTATGTATAACACATTTAGTTATGTATAACACATTACTATAATACAGATAAAATACAGTTAATTATGTATAACACATTACTATAATACAGAGTAAACACAGTTATCATTTGCTATGGGGAGTCGTGGTGGTTCAGTGAGTTGACTTACTAGCCAGGATATCTCGGGTTCGCTCCCGGAATTGTTTCCACAATTCTTTGGTGCAGGAAAGAGGTCTCGGCAAGAACATTGTCAAGACTTTCGGAAGGGACGGAAAACTGAGGTCCTGCGTACACATCGACAGGTGGGTAGAATTCCAAATAAATGCAGCCCATTTGGTTCAGAAAGGTAGGACTTAAACCTTTCACCCAAAATATACTTTCTCTGGCATCATAAAATCTCAGATTTTTTTCGTTTCCATGGAATATGTACTCAGTCGACCGACTTTGAGTCGGCATGTACGCTGGTATTTAGCAAACTAAGAGAAAGGGGGTATTCCAAACGCTATCTCCGACGTATAAAAAACAACACTCTAGCTGAACTTGCAGCCAAAAAACAAATAATATGCAATCAGGAGTTAAAACCAAAACTTGTGGCCACCCAAGAAGTCAAACATGCAAAATCATTAACATATCCGACCAGTTCCTTAACAAAACATCTGGCACGCAATTCCCAATATTATACCAACTTTCTTGCAGCTGTTCTAACATAATTTATCTAATTTCATGTAGACAATGTGACAAACAATACGTAGGGGAGACCCAGAATGCACTTAGGGAAAGAATTAACGGTCATCGGTCAGCCATAGCCATCAAAACAGACAAACCGGCCTCAATTCACTTCAACCAACAAAATCATGACATTTCCGATCTCATTGTTACGCCAATAGAAAAGACCAAGAGCGACTTTGAAACTCCAGAAGAAATTAAAACGTTTAGGATAACTAGACAACAAATATGGTTTGACACATCCCCCCCCCCCACCCATCCAGGTTTGAATATTCATACGGTTCGCGCAATAGCCCGTTTTGTAGTCCCATTTAGCGCAACAGCAGCAAGTGCGTCCAATATCATCAGAAAACACTATACTGATCTCCAGAAAAATCACCCCCAAATCTTCACACAGAAACTTATTATTCTATATTCTAAAAATAAAATCTGAACATCTTAATGCACAGTATATTAGATTCAATAAGACCAGTCCTCACCCTACCCCCCCCCCCCCCAAAAAAAAAAACAACATATATCAAACCCTAACTGTAACCGTTAGTAAATAAAATCAACTAAATATACCAATCCCTAGCCCTAACCCGGTGATAGTGGAACAAACACATTTTTGGAAAAAGTCGACAAGACGGTATACAAGCCAAAATGCAAGTCGAAAAGTAGAAATTAGGAAAAAACGAGGGGCGCTATTATCGCTGTGTATTATTTTTTAATTTCCTATTTTCGAGTCGATTTTGGCTTGTATAGCGTGCTGTCGCCTCCCATTTTGTCGTAACTTCTACTTTTCGACTTTTCGACTCTCGCCTTCTGAAGGGGCGAAAAGTAGAAATTATGAATGGTGGTTATAGGCTTCCATATCTATGCAACTACAATGTGTTGTTACACCTCACTGGTTTGCACGAATAAAATGAATAGTCAGACCTTTTATGCTCCTTAACGCCGTCATATGTGTATAAATAAAATAGATATTTGAGTAACCTGAATAAGTATGCCAATAATAATATATAATATAAAGCCGACGGTGTGTGAAATTATATACGTATGTGGTTGGTGTTATTCATTATTTATAAATTTGGATCATGACGTGACTTTTAAATTTTTAATAACCAGAAGCCTTTTATGAAGGGTGTTTCACGTTGGACTGTTAAGATGGGGGGGGATGACCGAATGGTTAGCGCGAGCGTGCTGTATCATAAGAACTGTCACTGTCAACTGGCGTGGTTTCGGTTCCCCGGTTGTACGTGACAAGGAGTAGGGTCGCCTGTCCAACCTCGTGGGTTTTCTCCGGGTCCTCCGTTTTCCTCCCACTGCTAAAGACCCCTACGCGCAAGCGAATTATTGAAATAAAATTGAACCATATGTTAGTCCCGAAATGACCTATTTTGTGTCGAGTGGACGTTTACCCCTCTCTCTCTCTCTCTCTCTCTCTCTCTCTCTGTATTCATCATAAGTATCTCATTACATTATTCTGAATACAGTCAGACTTTAATTATTTATTGCAGCACAAGACCGTGTCTTCTTTGGTCACCCTCCGTATCCCTGGGTTCATCCATGATGTATTCTCTCTCTCTCTCTCTCTCTCTCTCTCTCTCTCTCATAAAACAGTAGTTATTTACCGCAGCGGTTGGTTCTAAATTCAAATCAACTGCGTCTATAAATGTAATTGTTCGTTTACATTTATGGTCAAATTTCCATGGACGGTCAATTACAGCTGTGACCGTGTATCTAACTCGTCCAACAGAACTTTCATATGATGAGGGTAGTTGGTTTGGTAGCTGGAAGCTGAATGGATAACTGTAATTTCCTGGTTGTAAGACGTGGTCGTCTCCTTTCTCCTCGAGACCTGGAATTATTAAAAGTATATTTAATATTTGAAGACCAATGGGATTATTCAGTGCCTCGAGATCTACGGTCATTTTGGGACTAACATATGGTTTATTTTATTTCAATAATTCGCATGGGCGTAGGGGTCTTTAGCAGTAGGAGGAAAGCGGAGGACCCACAAGATTGGACAGGCGACCCTACTCCTTGTCACGTTCAACCGGGGAATCAAAACCACGCCAGTTGACAGACCTTATGATAGGTATCACGTCATTTGGGACTCAACATAAACAACATTTGGGACTCAGTTGACGACTTTTGGGACTTGATTGGCGTCAACTGGGACTCAACACAAACGACATTTGGGACTCAATATAAACGACAGTTGGGACTATTTATTTATGAGATATATAGTAACAGCTGTCTTGGTTGTCTTTCGTTTTATTTAGTTGATCGGCGATTGTTGAGACCGCGATTAACACTGCTAGTTCTCCTTTGTTTTGTTTTATCTGCGAGTATAAAACTTGACAATAATATATTGTTGAAAATTTGTGTATATTTAGTAATACTTCGTTGTTTTTCTTTTATCAAATAGTAAACGAGCTTGATTGACCGACCACTGCTAATGTTTTTTCGTGAAACGGTACAACTGCAATCAACACACGGCCGCCATTCTCGATGATTGACAACTCAAGTTTTTCCTCATCCACCAAAGAACCGTTAGGTTTCTTTGAACATACTGCAATAACATCGGGATTATCAGTTAATCAGCTTTAATTATCCCGCTTTGATCGTTGCCATTTCTTATCGTTTGGTTGAGCCTTTTACTAACCACGTGTTTCATGACATGTAATCTTATGATACACCCCCCCCCCCCCCCACAAAAAAATCTACGGGCCAAGGTGTATAGTCTTACACATACTCGACTTTGTTCAATTGAGTTTAAAACACTCTTGTATTTTGCAAGCGTGATGTATTCGGAGAGATTCCATAAGTGGAAGAGTCGAGGACCACTCATCGTCTAAATCACGCATTGGGTTAATTTCTTACACGACAAACACTTATATCAACAGAAAATATCCGACAAAGTGAAAACTTGGTTATTTAATCACTATCATTAACAATTCAAAGTGAGAAGATTACACGAAAACAAAATCTAGACAAATCGACTCCCATTAATCCAGTGGATGAATTTGACGCATGTTCACTTAAAGGTGGTACGGATTGTTTATAAATAAAGTGAAAGTAGATAGATACGTAAAAGCAAGCAGAGTAATCTTACCTTTACCGAACAGAACCAAAACATGCTCAAAATATGATTCTTTTGATGAATAAACTACAGTGTATGTTGACTGTCCATTACTACGAGTTTCTGACCATTTAACCCGAGCACCGCCATTAAATTCTAGCCTAATTCCTAGAAATGAAATAAAATGAAATGGGGTTTAACGTCCTACTGTTGTGCTCCGAAATGGGCTAATGAAGACGGGCATATGCCATACAGTGTGCTATGAGGGAAATTTTGCCCGGACAGCGGCACTACGGCCTACTCTTATATCGAATTCCAACTGCCAAGGGATCTTTTACGTGCACGCCAATGTGGACACGTGACCTCAGTTTTTTGTCCCATCCGAACGATTATACGTTGTACCTTGCCAGGTCCTCTGTTCTGTACTACTGACAAGAGGGAACCACGCCGGAAAATCTGGATGAACTTTCTCGGCCCCTAATTCCTAGAATAAAACCGCAATTGTCACCAACAGCTTGTGCGAGGAAAACTCCTAATAAGGCCTAATGATGTCTATTTGATATATTAATGAAGAGCCTAAATGAAACGAGGTTTAACGTCCTACTGTTTTGTATACGCCTTACAGTGTACTATTGTTTTGATTGGATTTAAATGTATGAGCCAAGTATTCGAACAGTTAGGCTATTGAGATTATATAGATCATGGTTGAGGGACTGTTCTACCTCATCAACAAACTGCTTGTTACATCCTAGTAGGGTTATTGGAAGGCCTTTTTAAGCCCCCCCCCCTCTACCATTATAGGCGTGGGGACGCTTTATCACCTCCCCCCACACCATTTTAGGCGTAGAAAGCATAGTGACACTTTATCACCCCACCCCTACCATTTTAGGCGCAGCGACACTTAAAGATAGAATACATTTACTTATTTTAGACGTGGTGACAATTCCCTATCACCCAAAGACAGAAAATATTGAATGATTCCAGACTTACGTCTCATTTTAATTTCTGCATTGAGTTGAACTGTGACATGACCTTGTACAAGTTGACCTCCATAAAATACTTCCTGGTTATTGGTGAAGTTTATTTCTAATAAATCTAATTTACCCATGTTGATCAAATTATGTCACAGTTCTAAAGTTGTGACGTCAGAGTCCTAAAGTTGTGACGTCAGAGTCCTAACGTTGTGACGTCAGAGTCCTAAAGTTGTGGCAGTATATTCTTCATCTGGTCAAGACCACGACACGAGTTCCCTTTTTCTTGAATAAAGAGTTATAGACTTCATTCGGCTGCGTTCGTTTGTCACACAGAATCCTAATAGTTTGGGGGAAATCACCATATAGAATACCTTAAGTAACCAGACATGTACTTGTTGGGATATTTAACAATTGTTGGTGAAACGAAGGTGGCCCTGATTGTTGTAGCAACTAACCAGTCACCCGAGACAATCAAACAATGATACGGTATTCACGTCTCTTAACAAACAATCATATGACTAGGATTGAATACCTATGTTAGGGTGGCCCGAGCTGATTACACGTGTCAATACCTATGTTGTAATACGCACTGGATTACCAGAGAGAGATAGATAGATAGAGAGAGAGAGAGAGGGGTTTAATTTTATATCAGTAGTTCTCTTGCGCGTAGAGTCGGGACGGGGGTGGGTAGCAGTTAGCAGTGAGGACAAACTAGAGAACCTTGAAAAACACACGCGATAGGACACACGAGAGAGAGGGAGAGAGAGAGGTTTAATTTTATATCAATAGTTCTCTTGCGGGTAGAGTTGGGGGCTGGGGGGGGGGGGGGCTTTAGCAATGGAAACAAACTTGAGAACCTTGAAAAACACACGCGATAGGATAGTTTTATTATTACTTTAAAAAAAAGTACCGCATTAGAAAGATCTTATAGAATTTTAATATCTTATAAGTATTATTAACGATAATGAATGCCAGATCACGGAGATAGCCACGTAACGGATGATAGATTGAAACTTATATGATCATGATGATAGCCACGTAACGGATGGTAAGTTGAAACTTATATGATCATGATGATAGCCACGCAACGGATGACAGATTGAAACTTATATGATCATGATGATAGCCACGTGACGGATGATGGATTGGAACGTATATGCTCATGATGATAGCCACGTAACGGATGATAGATTGTAACTTATATGATCATTATGATAGCCACGTGACGGATGATGGATTGGAACGTATATGCTCATGATGATAGCCACGTGACGGATGATAGATTGGAACTTACATGATCATGATGATAGCCACGTGACGGATGATAGATTGGAACTTATATGCTCATGATGATAGCCACGTGACGGGTGATAGATTGAAACTTATATGATCATGATGATAGCCACATGACGGATGATAGATTGGAACGTATATGCTCATGATGATAGCCACGTGACGGATGATAGATTGGTACTAACATGATCATGATGATAGCCACGTGACGGGTGTTAGATTGGAACTTACATGACCATTGGCGCCAGTTTAAAGGATACCATTTACCACATTAGAGATATCTACAAACGACAATGAAAGCTATAGTAGTATTATCATTATTAAAAATACTACATTAATGCAAAACATTACCCCACCCCCCTCCATCATGGAAATACTTTACGACTGGGGTGATCTGTTCACGGTCTACAACTAACAATACGGACAGCTTTGTTTTGGATTTGATTGCTTTCTGCAATATTTGGACATATTTGTTCGGACGTGATGCAGTAGTTAGGTGTTTATTCCACAAAAACATTGTCAAAAACTTTGTAATCTTCTAAATCGATACATGTTCATCAAATTATGTCACAGTCCTAACGTTGTGACGTCAGAGTCCTAAAGTTGTGACAGCTTACACATTTTATCAAGCAAGATCACCGAGTCCTAAAGATGTGACAGTATCTTCTTCATTTTATAAATTAGCACAGAGTTACCTTCTCCTTGAATGTAAAGTTATATGGGGAATGCTCGAGTGTCAGTCCGGAACGGTCCGAATTGACAGAATTACAATTGAGTGAAATGGAATTCAGAAATGAAATGGGGTTTAACGTCCTACTGTTTTGCTCCTGACCACGGCTAATGAAGACGGGCATACGCCATACAGTGTGCTATGAGGGAAATTTTGCCCGGGCAGCGGCGCTACGGCCTACTCTTATATCGGATTCCAACTGCCAAGGGATCTTTTACGCGCACGCCAATGTGTACACGGGACCTCGATTTTCGTCCCATCCGAACGACTAGACAGCGGTCCTTGTCAGGCCCTCCATCCTGCATTACTGACAAGGGGAAACCACGCCGGAAAATCTGAATGAACTTTCTCGGCCAATGCAGGGATAGAACACTCGACCTCCAGGCTAGCGAGCCAGCGTCTTAGCCACTTAGCCACGTGATCCCCGAAATGGAATTCAGTCCCGCCACAGTTCTGTAAGCCTCGACAACGGAGGTGGTGTAATTAGAATCCTGACGTAATAAAGCACAACCAATATATTTCAGCTTTCATGATTGGATGGGATATTTTTTATGCGCTCGGCGCATGCGTTATAGCCATACATTTCACTTTTCACTCGATTGTCATTACTTTTGGGATTGAGAAAATTTAAAATCTGGAACGTTCAATCAAGTACCCCGTTATTGACATTATTTGAGTGCCTTCGTTTGTCACGCAGAATCCTGCTCACATTTCTACTACTACAGTAAGAAAGTCAATATCTTTAGCCCTAATTAAATTTCGATTTAAGCGAGAGAGACCAAATTGATAAAGACTTAAGACAGATAATCTCGATTATCCTGCTCCGTTGCTTTGTCACTGAACGAAGGTGACTGTTTTAGCGAGACAATTATCAAGGCCTTTTATCCAGTTGACAAGTGTTGGTGAAACGAAGGTGTCCCAATTATTCACCCGCGACCATGGGAAAGTTGGGACACTGTATTATATAATGTGTTTAATAAGGACTGTGTTAGGAACGTCTTCTATCGGACCAACTTAAAATCCACAGTAATTAGTACTGATTACCTGAGTATAACTGCAGGGGTAAGTTAAATTATATATTATTATGAACACTTCAGTCTTGACCTCACAATCAAGCCAGGTGAAATGAAATGAAATTAGGTTTAGCGCCCTTCTGTTCTAGAGAGAGAGAGAGAGAGAGAGAGAGAGAGAAAGACGGGGAGAATTTTCGGGACTAACATACGGTTCAATTTTTTTTCAATAGAGACTTTTGGCAAACGTAAATTATTGGTCCGTATTGCGTATCCGTAACGATTTTGCGTGTGATGTCATCAATGCGTGTGTATTTCTCATACGTGATACGGCACACGGATACGGCAGCACGTATCGAACAGCTTTCATACGGAAAAGGTCCGTATAACATCGTCGTCTTTTTATCGTATGTTTTGCTACTTTTAGACGCTGAAATGTTGTGCCGTTGCGTTTTTATGAATCTATGTGTATCCTAGAACACGAAGGTGTATATTTGACGTGATTTTAACCATGGCAAAGACTGGAATTTAATAATTACTTTTGATGAGCTTTTCGCGGAATTTTCATATTTTTCCTGTCTGTCTGCACGCTGGTTGATCTATAACGTGCTAAATTTAGGCAGGTGGGACCTTGCAAATCTGTAAAAGGGGTATATACTTTCTGAAATGATACATTAGTGAAGATTTTTAATAAGATTCGACACTAATTTTTAAAAATTTTTTTTAAATAACTCAGCGACTGTCGAACGACTTCACTCCCATCAGGAATTTGTAGGCTAGTACTGATGTTGATCTTGGTAGATAACTGCCATTATGCTGTAATAAACTACGCTCAGCTCAGCTACCCATACGTCCGCGGCGCGAAGTCTGCCAAAACTCTAAAACTAAATTAACGCAACGTATCACGTGACGATACGGGTACGTTATACGGATGGGGAAAAATCCACTTGCCAAATGTCTCTATTAATTCGCTTGTGCGTAGGAGTCTTTAGCAGTCAGAGGAAACCGGAGGACTTTATGATACAGAGCGCACTCACCAACCATTCGGCTATCCACCCCCTCCTACATACTGCTCCAACTGGGCTAATGAAGACGGGCATAATAGTATGCTATGAGGGAAATTTAGCCCGGACAGCGACACCACGGCTTACGCTTCCAGCTTGTAGCAGTGTAGATATTCACGCATCGTTGGTTTTATGATAAATATTTCACACCAGGAAATCCAATCTGTTTCACAAGATATTACGAAAGTCTTCTAATAGCCTGTAATAGATGACTGCTTTTAACACGTGACGTCACATCACGGGGTGTCAATCACTGACTCAATGGCGCGTGCATTGTTTACATAAGATGTTGCTGGTCCAGGCAGAATGGGGCCATTTACTCATTTTTCATACCCATTTACACTAAATAGGCCATATTTTGTACTTATATATGCATTTAATTTGCAGAAGAAAAACAAATATTGGGGGCTCATTAAGCCGCACCGATGTCATCCCAGCTATCAGTGATTGAATTTAGTTATCTCCCCTTCACCATAGTCTTAACAAAACGGAAGTGAAACACGAAGATTTTTCAAATTTGGGGAATTGGTGGTGTCGCAAATATTTTCTTTTTTTTAAATCGGTATAGATGCCATTAAAAGCCCCACCCCTCCCGTCCCTCCCTCCTGAGAAGTAAGAAGCAATCCGGAGACTATTGAACCAAGTACAGATTTCTGCAAACCATGAAATGGGGTTTTCTGCTATATGAATAATTGCATACGCCATGTGCAGTGTGGCATGAGTATAAACGGACAGTTGCGCTACAGCCTACTTTTATTACAAATTAAAAATATCAAGGGGGAGGGGAGAGAGAGAGAGAGAGGGAGAGAGAGATGGGGACCAACATATGGTTCAATTTTATTTCACTAATTCGCTTGCGTGTGGGGTTCTTTAGCAGTGGGAGGAAACCGGAGGACCCAGCGTAAAACCCACGAGGATGGACAGGCGACCCTACTCTTTTTCACGTACAACCGGGGATTGGAAACCACGCCAGTTGACTCAATGACAGACTTCTTTATGATACAGCGCGCACGTGCTAACTATTCGGCCACCCAACTATCACGGGTTCTTTTACGCCAATGTGTTTATGGGGCCTCGATTTTTGGTTGGTCGTGCTCCACTGACAAAAGGGGAAACCACGTTGGAGAAAACCAGAGGAATTTTGATAGAACTCGAGACCTCCACCAGCTTAGCGAGCCAACGCCTTACTCACTGGGCCACCACGGCTGCCAAAATCAAAAAAGAAAACATGGTTAACCGACTACGTCAAGAGACTAGCAATCTTGTCGACATGTTTTAGATCAATTACACTTCGATCAAATGCCACTTACTCTTCGATCAAATGCCACGTACCCTTCAATCAAATGCCACTTACTCTTCGATCAAATGTCACTTACTCTCCGGTCAAAT